AGCAACAGCAACAGCAACTGCAACTGCAGCAGCAAATGCAGCAGCAAATGAAGATAAGCGACAATGAAGAAGAAAAGAAAAGAAAATAAATAATAAAAAAGATAAAACAAAACGATTTCTTTAGCAAGCAAATGCTCGTAGCTTTTTATCTTTGTTTGTTTATCTTTCTTCTTAAGTTGAAGTAAAGACTAGAAAATATATTTAATTATTTATCTTTCTTCTGTTTAAAACCAGATGCTGCAACAGAAACAAAACAGACAAAACACAAAAGGCTTCATATAATTATTTATGTTTGTTTGTTTGTTTGTTTGCTTGTTTGTTTTGTTTGTTTGTTTGTTTGTTTGTTTGTTTGTTCTTTTCTTTTCTCTCTCTCTCTTTTGCTTTTTTTATCTTTATCTCTTCTCTGTCTCTGTCTCTGTCTCTGTAAGTGCAGCAGTTATTGAAGCGATAAACAAATAATAAAAAAAGAAGTAAAGAGAAACTAATGAGAGAAGAACAAACCTTTATTACTTTTCTTTTTCTTTTGCTTTTCTTCTTCTTCGCTTCTCTCTGCTGCATTTAAGAGACTCATAGTCCTGCAACAACAAGAGAAAGTTAAAAACAAAATAAATAAAAATAAATAAAAATAAATAAAAATAAATAAACAAATAAAACCTTAATTTAAATAAAACAAATAATAATTAAACCAACATAAAATAAAACAAAATAATAATACGCCAACGAGAGAAAAGAAGAAAAAGAAATGAAATATATTTACACACTAAAACCCTTACACTAACTAAACCCTAAACCCTAAACCCTAAACCCTAAACCCTAAACCCTAAACCTTTAAATCAAAAACCCTAAACCCTACACATTTGTATGCACCAGTTGAAGCGCCGAAGAAGCATTAAACAGCCACACCCCCTTTATCCTAAACCCTAAACCCTAAACCCTCAAACCCTAAACCCTCAAACCCTAAACCCTAAACCCTCAAACCCTAAACCCTAAAACCCTAGACCCTAAACCCTCAAACCCTCAAACCCTAAACCCTAAACCCTTGTGAATAGTACCAGTTAAAGACGGCTGCGAATGCGAGGGTGAGGGCGAGGAAACCAAGTGCGAGGTAGAAAACGAACAAATCTGTTTTTGAAATATATAATATTGAGAGAGACAACAAAGACAGGAAAAAGACAGAAAAGTTTATAATTTTTTGAGTTTTTTCTCGCTTTGTTCCGAATGCCCAGTCAAGGGCCTCAGAAAGGTTTAAAGGGGATTCATTCTCTTCTTCTATTTCTTCTTGTTGCTTTTGCAGCAACATCTTTGAAGAAAGAATTAAATAAATAGCTTAAATACACTTAATAAATCAAACAAATGTCCGAAATCAACACGCAGTATTAAAATACACACAAAGAGAACGCTTCGATGAAAGAAAGAAAAGAAAAGAATAAGAATAAAAGATGCTGATAAATATATAAACAATACTTTTGCTGTCTTTGATTAAAAGACAGACAAAATAAATTTAAATTAAATGCAAATAAAGAAAAAATTAAGTTTCTCACTCCTTAGCTGGAAGAAACAAACACACAAAATAAATATTGTTTTAAAAAAGAAATAAAAACAAATAAACACATTTATTTACTTTTTAGGGTTTAGGGTTTAGGGTTTAGGGTTTAGGGTTTAGGGTTTAGATGAGGGCCCCAAGGAAGAAATCAAATTGCATGCATTACTTCTGTTGCTGCTCTCTGTTTCTTTCTCTGTTTTGTTTGTGTTATAAGGAGCTAAGATATATATTTATTTAGTATTTATATATTTAATTATTAATTTCTTATTATTAGAATATATTTTAAAGGGAGAGAAATAAACAAATAAGATTTTATCTTGAGGTGTATGTGCAGCTCATATACACTTCATTCTGCTTTTAGACCTAAACATCGTTAATTTTGTTTATTTTTCATCTTTTTTTTCGTTTTTTGCATTAATTTTCTTTTATTATTCTAATTAAGATGTCTCTCGATGATGTTGAACACCCTTTATTTAAATATATTCTCGTTCCTTACGATATCAACCTCCCTGTTCAAGAGCTAACATTCGAAGGCCGGGAAGACAACTTCAGAGAACAACTTAAAACGCATTTAAATAATGAAAAGATTAATTGTTTAAACCAACAAAACTTCAAAGACTTCAAAGAACAGCTCAAACTTAAAGCAGAAGGAAAGATTGATGACGATGGCTTAGATAAAGTCGTACAGGGATCTTCACAAAACTACCAGGTATGCTGCTGCTGCTGCTGCTGCTGCTGCTGCTCTTG